AGACTGGGAAACATGAAGCTAAATTTCCCTCCGGTGGCTGCAGCAGTCCTGTTCTTACACCCCTGCCTTCCCATTGGTTCCATTAATGATGTTGCTAAAGCCATCCCTGGGAAACTCTTAGGCACCCTTCACCCACCATCCAGGTGTCTGTGAGCTTTCCTGTGGCCTGGTTTGGTGGCAGGAGCTGGATTGTGGTGGGGCCTGCCTGACACCTTGTCGGACATCTTCTCCTAGGCAAAGGAGGTGCAATGGCTGCTGATATCGACATTGACACAGTTGGCACGGAGGGCTGGGGGGAGGATGCCGAGCTGCAGCTGGATGAAGGTGAGTCTGCCTGGGCACAGCGGGAGTGTGGGAGCCTCCAGCAAGCAGGCGCTGACTGCGGTTCTGTTCTGTCCTGCAGATGGCTTTGTGGATGCTGCGGATGGCTTTGGAGATGAAGCCGTCGGGAAAGGGCAGGAGGAAGGAGGTGGATGGGAAGTTGAAGAGGATTTGGACCTTCCCCCCGAATTGGTATGGGGCTGTGAGGTCAGGCACTGGTTTTGGGCAGCAGCTCGTGGCTCAGTTGCAGTGATCCCTAGGAAGGAAGGAAGGGTCACTGGGCTCTGGTGGCTGTTGGATTGTGAGACAAGCCAGTCCAGTTCTTCACTCATTTCCACTTCTGTTCCCCATCCGGTCTCCCAATGGATGTATTGACAGGGTCCCACATCTGATTGACTGTGGAGGCTGATCCTCCCTCCTCCTGCTTAAAAGTGATTCTGGAGATCAGGCCTGGAGCCCTTTGACCGGGCAACTTGGGGGTGAACTTGCACCAGGGTCTGCCCTGCACCTGTTTTGGCCTTGCGTGGTGGACTCCAAGGCTGCAGAGGCACTTTGCCTGGTGTGGCTTGTGTGTGTCCACAGCACTCAGGAGCTGATCAATGCCTGTTTGATTCCACAGGACGTCCCTGTTGGGCCAGCAGGAGGAGCAGAGGACGGGTTCTTTGTGCCACCCACCAAGGGCACCAGTCCGGCCCAGGTACTGGGACAGACCTTTTTCTGTCTTGCTCTGAAATGATCTTGCACACCCCTGTTGTGTGATGCTGGATTATCAGTTGGGAGCATGGTGAGGGAACTCTGTCAGGATGCTGGCTGGAGCCCTGCTGTGTGGGTGGGGGTGGCTCCCAGAGCTGCCCCCATCATGCATTTCTGCTTTCCGTCAGGTCTGGTGCAACAACTCACAGCTGCCTGTTGATCATGTCCTGGCTGGCTCATTTGAGACGGCCATGAGGGTGAGTTACACCAGGGATCCTCTCCCCCACCAATATATTCATTCTGTTCGTGACCCCTTCCAGTGCAGGGCAGTGGGTGAGGATGGTGTGGTGAATGCAGGGTGTTTGAGGCCCTGATATACTGACTGTGCCATAGTTTGGTGTCCCTTGAGACTGAAGGATGGAGTCAGGGGTCCCATCCCATGCTGGGGTGTTAACAGGGAGGAAGGGCTCGGTCCTTCTCTGCTGCACTGGGAGCTCATAGTCCCATTACAAAGAAAGGAAGTCTTGTGGCTAAAGCTTGGTGGTGTTCCAGTCTCTGCCGCAGGTTCAGTATATGTCCTGAGCTGTTTCCCTCAGCATCTTGGGTATGAAGTGGGGATTCCTGTGGGTTGAGACTGTCTCTGTGGTCCCCTGGCTGAGATGGAGCGGTTGGTGGCGGGGCACAGGCATGGACCGCTCTCACCCTGTGGCTAAGTGCATCTTTTCTTCTCCAGCTCCTTCACGACCAGGTGGGAGTGACTAATTTCGGCCCCTACAAGCAACTGTTCCTGCAGACTTATGCCCGGGGCCGCACCACCTACCAAGCCCTGCCTTGCCTCCCCTCCATGTATGGATACCCGCATCGCAACTGGTGAGTAGTGAGGTACCTGCCTCCCTCTTCCTTTGGATCTCATCCCATCCTGTCCCTTCCCTCTCCTTCCTAGGGCTGGTCACCACGTCCTTTCTGGTTGGTTCTCCTGGTGCAGCCAGGCAACCTCTTCTGCCATGATCTGGCTTCCTGTCCTGTGAGACCAAAGCCTTTTTTCCCTTTCCCACCTTCAGGAAGGAAGCTACCCTGAAGAACGCAGTCCCGGCAGTTGGCCTGAAGCTGAATGACCTGATCCAGCGCCTGCAGCTCTGCTACCAGCTCACCACCTCCGGCAAATTCGAGGAGGCAGTGGAGAAGTTCCGGTCCATCCTGCTGAGCGTGCCGTTGCTTGTGGTGGACAACAAGCAAGAGATTGCCGAGGTGAGGTGCCACTTTGCCCACCCCCCACATCCATCCTCTTGAAAGGCAGGGGGTGAGTGGTGCCTGACTCGCTCTTTGTTCCTCCTCCTCCTCCTCCTCACAGGCCCAGCAGCTGATTGCCATCTGCCGGGAGTACATCGTGGGGCTCTCCATGGAGATTGAGAGGAAGAAGCTCCCCAAGGAGACCTTGGAGCAGCAGAAGCGCATCTGCGAGGTATAAAAGCTGTTCCCCCTCAACATGCTGCAGGCTCCTGGGCTGGGGTGGGATGGTGAGGCCCATGACAGAGGGACTTGAGAGCCCTGAGGTCAGTGTCCCCGTATGACTGGGTGAGTCACTTTACCTTGATTTCCAAGAGACCCTTACAGCGAGCTGTCTCCCAAGCCAGGCTGGGAGGGGGATCGCCTGCTTTTGAGGGACGCTGATAACAGCATGTACCTGGGCCATCTTGTTACCAGGCCAATGGGCAGGTTTCTCCCCAAGCCAGCCAGAGATGGCTGTTCTGCAGCCGCTGCAGTGGCAGGGCCTGTACTCAGCTGGGCAGGGCTGCTGCCCTTGCTGCAGGCAGTAATTCTGATTGATCGCTGGCTTCTCTCTTCCCACAGACCGCCGCCTACTTCACCCACTCCAACCTGCAGCCTGTACACATGATCCTGGTGCTCCGCACTGCTCTCAACCTCTTCTTCAAGCTCAAGAACTTCAAGACAGCTGCCACCTTTGCGCGCCGCCTCCTGGAGCTGGGACCCAAGCCCGAGGTGGCCCAGCAGGTACGTGTGTGGTTGCGTTCTGAGCAGGAGTTTGTGGATCACAGAGAAGTGGCGACCCTGGGACCCCCCCCCATGAGTGCAGGCTGAGCTCTAGGCTGGCTTGGTCTGTTTACCTCATCTTGGGGGCAGAGGCTGTATGTCTCCGGCAGAGGACCCATGCTGAGTGGGAGGGATGTTCCTGTGTCTGCCTGGGGTCCTGGGAGGACACTGCTGCTTGGGAAGCAGGTGGAACAGCCCATCTAGGTAGCTCCTGCCATGGACAGTCAGCAGCAGCTCCTCTGTTCATGGCTGAGGCATTTCCCCCTTCCTAGACTCGCAAGATCCTGTCTGCCTGTGAGAAGAACCCCACCGACACCTACCAGCTCAACTATGACATGCACAACCCCTTCGACATCTGCGCTGCCTCCTACCGGCCCATCTACCGTGGCAAGCCCGTGGAGAAGTGCCCGCTCAGCGGGGCCTGCTACTACCCTGAGTACCAGGGCCAGATCTGCCGTGTCACCACGGTAAGGAAAGGAGCCTGTGCTGGCCAGCCACATGGACCCTGCCGTAGCAGGCGCTGACGGCAGCCTCTGTGCCAGCCCTGTTGCCTTGCTGTTGACCACTGACCTCTTCTCCCTTCTGCTCCCCAGGTCACAGAGATCGGCAAAGATGTCATCGGGCTGCGCATCAGTCCCCTGCAGTTCCGCTGAGGCCCTGTCCTGTGCTGGCTCGACAGGACCTTTAATCAGAGGGATGTGCGAGCTGAAACCTCCCCCTTGGCTCCTCCCTTCCTGCCATGCTTGGAGCTCTCGCCTCTACTGTGAATGTGCTGTTGTGTGTAATGCCCGCTCTCCCTGCCCCACAGAGGACCGTCCTCACCATGCTCCTCGCCCCATTCCCACAGTGACTACCATTAACCTGGGGTTCTTTCTCCCGGAGCAGCTGCAGCTGTGTTTGCCTGCAGGTAGCAGAAGATTGCAGTGCCCTGTAGCCACATGCCACAAGAGGCTGGGCAGCATTATTCTCACCCTGATGCACAGAGGTGCCACATGAAAATAGCTGGGGAGCTGGAATCCCAATGCCCCACTTGCTGCTGCTTCTGTACAGCCTGTTCACGAGCCCAGCAAGAACCCTCTCTGCCTTGAGCAGAGGACCCGGGCACTTCATGACCATCAGCAGGGGTTGCTCTCCTAATGTCTTAATTCCTGATCAAAGGGGCATGTGGGTGTTGTGCGAAGGGAGCAAAGATTGGCTCAGAATCCCAGGGCTTCGGCTGTTCTGTCCTTCCCAGCTTCCCCCAGCCTTGTCTCCTCCTCACTGTAATAAAGTAAATTAACTAGCTGAGACCCCTGTCATGCCTTCAGCCGCACCGGTGGAGACTCAAAGGGGCATGTGTTTCCACTTGTTGAGTGTAGAACTGAAGTGCATTTTCACCCTGAAGTGACTCGTGGGGGCGTTGAAGGGACCAGCAGCACCGCAGAGCACCAAGTTTTGCTCCAGAGAGTCTGGGCTTGGCAGGGTGAAACCTGCCAGCCTGTTTAGTGGGGCAGGCTGGGTGATCACTGTGCAGCCGTGAATGGGTTTGGAGATTAGGAGGGAGCAGCAATGGTCTGGTGAGAGCTCCTTTCAGCCTTCCCCATGCACCAGCGCTAGCTGCAGCACTCGCCTTCTGTGTCTGCGGCAGCAGCTCTACCACTGGTGGGGTGGGAAAAGTGCCTGGAGGTCCTATCCTGCTTCTCAACCCCTCCCCCCCCCCCCCCCCCCCAGTTCCTTCATGCTTCAATAGAGCCTGTAAAATAACCTCCCTGGTTTCCTAGAGCTGTTGCTAATTCCTCACGTGTTGCCTAGGGTGGGAAATTCACATCAGCCCCCTGCTTTGCAGAGGCAGGAGCTCACCCGTGGGTCCAGAGCAGAGGACTGGGGCTTGTGACCTGCAGGCCCATGCTTGTGCCCTTGCACGCATTGTGCGGGAAAGAAGCACACCCGCCGGGGAGTTTCATCCCATCACTTTATTAAAACAAAGTCGCGGGGTCGGGAGGGTTTCCAGCTCTGTCTTGGTCTCGCTCAGGTGCTTTGTGGAATGTTTGCTGTGGGGCGAGTGCAGGGCACCGGGAGAAGGGGTCACAGTTTCTTGGGGCCGCTGGGACCCTTGGGGCAGCTGGGACCCTTGGGGCCACCGGGACCCCCTGTACACAGGGCATCGTGGCAGGCCACTGCGATGCCTCCAATGAGGTTGAGGAACTCCTGGAAATCCAGCTGCCCATCGCAGTTCAAGTCCAGCTTCTTCATCATGCGGTCCAGGATGGCCGGGTCCTTCTGGTTCTGTGAAGGAGCAGGGGAGGGTGATCATTAGGGTCCCCGGTGGGGCCCATCACCCGGGCATCTGGGCACCTCTCCTGGGGCTTTGGGACCCCCAGGCCCCCACGGGAGCCAAGTCCAGCCCATGATGTCTCTTGCCTTACTGTCTGCTCTGGATTTGGGTGGCAGTGGGCTTCAGAGGCCACTGCTCTGCCCTGCAAATGGGCCTGCAAATGGGCTGTCCTGGGGGAGCAGGAGCCAGGATCCTTTCCTGGGTGCAGGGCACCTCAGAGTCCCAAAGGGCTGTTGGTTCCCAAGCAGCCACACCCTCCCCTCCAGCGGCTCTGCGGTGACTCAGTACCGGGATGCTTCCCTCCTGCTCCAGGCCTGGCCAGGCTGGCGTGGCCCTACTCACCTTGGTGAAGGAGGCCAGCTCGCTGTTCATGAAGGCCAGGAACTCCGTTTTGGAGAGCTTCGTTTCGTCTCTGTCGCTCCTCCCCGCGTAGCGCTGGAAGACGGCCAGCAGGGACTCGATGCAGCGCTCCGTCTCCGTGGGTGCAACCGGGACCTTCGACTGCAGGTACAAGGGAGCGCTTGTGAGTAGGGGGCAAGATGGGGCTCCCCGTGCACGCAGCCCCCACCCTTGGCTTCACAATGTGCTTCCTTCCACCCTGCAGCCGTGCGGGGGAGCAAGCTCCAGGGGCTTGATGGGTGGGGGGACCGAGAGACCCTGGAGAGCAGAGGCACGACCCTCATGGCTAAAGCAGGAGGTGGGGACCAGACTCCTGGGTTCTTTCACCTGCTTGTGCCTCAGGACAGTGGTTATAACGGTGCTTGCAGGGAGGAAACGCCTTCCCCTTCCTATTGCAACCCTGTGGCTTCCGCGTCCTGTCTGCTTGGACACTGTTGTCACAACCACCACAGCAGATTTCTGCCTTTCAGACCTGTTACTAGGGCAGAAGCCACTGCAGCATCACCCCTGCAGGGCAAGGGCATCACGGCTGTGATTTGGAAGGGCTCCCACGCACCCTGGGGCCTGGAGCAGGAGGATCCCCTGTCTAGGTGCTGCACGGGGCGTAGTTGGCCACCTTGGGAAATTGCTGTGCCCCCAGGGTGCGCGTGGGATGCAGCGGGGCCTCTCCAGTTGCAGCCCAGTCCCTGCCTCCCCTGCCTGCTAGTGGTTTCTGGCTGCAGCTCCTGCTTATGGGGGATGGGGGGGAACATGCATTTTTTCCGCTTTCATTTGCCACGTGATGTGTTGAGTCAGGAAGGAAGAATGTGACCGAAGCAGGATCCCATGAGGATGTGGGAAAAGGGAGGGCTCGATGGGTGGTGGGGCCCTGGCGGGCTCCAGGGGCAGAGGTGAGTGGCAGAGCCGTGCCCAAATCCTGCTTCCATCCCCATGTGAATGGTATGCAGCCTCGAGGGGCCTCGAATCCAGTTGGCCCCCGGTGGGGAGTACCATATCAGGCTCCCCCTATCTGCCCCTGCTCCATGGGGAGAGGAAGGGGCCTGGGCTTGAGCTGCTGGCGTCTCCCAGCACCAGGCGGCTTCTCTCTGGCCTCCTTGGCCGGGAGCGTGGGGACTTTGTGATGTGGAGTAAAGCCAGGACCAAGCGGGGAAGGGGCGAGCAACAAGGGGCAGGAAGCCAGGCTGAGGCCAGGAAAGATGGGAATTGTGCAAGGAGCGTGGGGACTGGCAGGAACCAGCCCGACCGCCGGTCCTGTGGGCTCCGTTGCCGCAACCCGCAGACCATGAATTTTGCCATTTTTGGCCCAGCGAGACAGGAAGCGCGCCCCACCCAGCCCTTCCTGCCCCAGGCAGGGAGAAGTGAGGAGCCTGGCTGCCCTGGTAATGGGCACATTGCAGCTACCAGGGCATGCATGTAGCAGGGCATGGCACGGCACGGAGGAGACGAGGTGCAGAAACGGAGGGTCAGGGTTGGGAGGCCTGGATGGGCACGGCTGGAACTGGGGGGCGCGGATGGGACGGGAGAAGGGGGAGACACCAAGGGGCAGGGAGCTTGCAAAGCCCCCACGTGCCCTGTGCCACCCTTTGCTGCCAGTCCACCCAGTCCTGGCACCTTTCCCCAGGCTGTGAGGGCCACTGCTGAGCGGGGAGCTCCAGCTCTGCAAGACTTTTCCCCCCCTCCATGCACAGCTGCCCCCTGCCTGCTCCCCTGCCCTCTCCTCGGGGCAAAGCCCCAAACTCACCATGTCTGCAGCTGGGGAACGGCGCACGGCAAGTGCTAGGGAACAGATCTACTCGGAGGGCAGAGCCTCGCCTAGCCACCGCCCTGGCAGCTGCTCTGCTCTCACAGACCCCTCGCGTCTGGTTGTGCAATTGCTGCTTACTCAGATCTGAACTTGCTTTCCTGCGAAGCCGATCTCAGAGCCCAGGAATGCGCCGTGCGGGGGGTTTGGCCGCTTTCTCTCACTGTTCCCGCCTCTCTTTTTTTTGCTTCTCTTCTTCCTCCCTAGTTTTCTTCTTTTTTTCCTTTCTTTCTTGTGCATTTTCCTTCCTCTGTCATTGCCTCCCCCACCTCTCTCCCCACAGGTGGCCTGCTTTGTGCCTCAGTTTCCCCATTTGTACATAATAATGCCCTGTAGCCATCCCCGGTTATATTCTAGGCAGAGGGGGCTAAGACCTGCAGGGCAGCAGCAACGGGGCTAGAGGCCGGTGTTCAGCTCTGGGAGCCCAGGCCTTGGCTGTGTTCATGAAAGGACATGGGCTGCATAGGGTGCATGACCTGCAGATGAGTGGCTGTTTCTAATGAAGGTGAGGCAGTTGTCACTCCTTTTTCTGTATCACATGGATATGTGTACATGCACACATGCACCTCCCAGTGCCTGTGGAAGAAATGTCGTGTACTGTGTACACACACACACACACACACACACACACACACACACACACACACACCAGTTGTCATGGAAGAAGCACAGTGTAATATGTGTACACAGACGCACTCACTCAGTGCTTGCAGAAGAAGTGCAGTACAACGTGTATACACACACATCAGTGCTCATGGAAGAAGTGTAATGTAATGTGTACACCTCCCCCTGCCCCCTCCCCGTGCTTATGGCAGAAGTGCAATGTAATGTGTGTACACATACACACCAGTGCTCATGGAAGAAGCACAGTGTAATGTTTTATAAAGCCTGGTCTGGGGTTTTACCAGCCATTGATTGCGGGTGTCGGGGGAGAGCTCCCTGGATAATTCTTAACACCCCTTACCTGACTGCCAACACCGTGGGATCTGCAATCACTGACCCCAGGTACCACCAGCAAAGCCTGGGCTGCAGATTTGTCCTTATGGGTGTCACTGCAACACTGAGAATATGCAGCTTAGATCAGGCCTCCATGGCGCCAGGTGCTGCGCAGTGCAGTGAGAGACAGCCCCAGCCCGCACAGAGCTTACCGGGGTGGGCAAAATGCGGCCTGCGGGCCAGATGCGGCCTGCCAGGCCATTCTATCTGGCCCATGGAGCCCCTAAAAAATGTAGAAAATTAATATTTATCTGCCCTAGCTGCCTGTCATGCAGCCCTCGATGGTTGCCAAAACTTAGTAAGTGGCCCTCCACCCAAAATAATTGCCTGCCCCTGGCTTAGACAAAGGGTGGGAAGGGAAACAGGCACGGAGAGTGGGAGTGATGTGCTTGAGGTCCCATGGCTGGGTTTGGAGTCAGCTCTCCTGAGTCCTTGGCAAATGCCCGATCCTCTCTGACCCTCTTCTAGCTCAGGTGTGAGACAGTTATTGCTCTGTTTGTTTCCCAGGCAGGGGCTGTGGTTGGCCAGCGTGTCGTGGGCTTGGACTCTTCTTCCAGAGCTGCCTTCAGAGCTCTGCCTTCGCTCTGGTTTTGAAGCATTTACCTGCCCCACAGGGCCGCTTCTGCTCCTGCATGCTTTTGCCACTCCCTGTTCCTGGCACGCAGCTGCCCGCTTTCATCTCACTGCAGCTCCTCACTTTGCTTCTCTCCTCCCTTGTTTCACCCCGAGCAGAATCCCTCCCTGATTCTGGGCAGGCAGCCTAGACACACAGCTTGCCCTAGCCCCTGCGCCGCAGTGGGTTTCGACCTGAATGCAAACTTCCCTGAAGCAATGGGCTTCCTGCCTCTCTTGCTCAAGGGCCTTGCAAGAGGAGACCCTGCCCCGACCCTAGAAACAGCTTCAGGGACCCCCCAGGCCATGGCCAGGATGCTTATTCTTTGTTGGGGATGCTGAGGGGCTCCCATCAGGTTGCTACAGCTCTGCACGTGCTCATGATTGAGCTGATTCTCCTGTCTGAGTGCAAAAGTGCTGATCTGAGCCCAGCGTTGGTGTGAAACTGGATTCAAAGGAGGAGCAGAGAGAGGTGTTCCAGCTTGCAAGGAAGAATCAAGCCTTCTCCATGCTGTCCTTTGGCTGGGGTGGTGTCTCCTGGTTTACAGGGCCAACCCCAAAGGAAAGCAGGTCCCCGGGTGCCTCTCGCATGTGGGAGAGAGCTACTGCTCAAGTGCTAAACCCACTTCCCTACCATGCCCTTGGAGGCATGTTTCATTTGCACCCATGCAGCTCCCCGGCTGCGTTCCTCGTTTCTTGGAGAGAAGGGCCAAGAGTCAGTCTAGTACAATATGCTGCTTTTAAGGGAAGGGCTGAAAAACTAAATCCTCAGCCAGATTTCCCAGAGAGCTGAGGATCAGGACCTAATCCTGGCTCAGGACCAAAACCAGTGAGACTGGTGCGTGGCCATGAAAGAGGGAAGCGTTTTTCCCTTGTTGACTGGGGCATCGTTGCTGTGTGCGTCGTGCAGTGCCTCACCCTGCCCTGCTGCATCGCAGCCCTGACCTCGGGCCCAGTGTTGGACACCTGGGAGGAAGCCGGACTTGCCAGGAGCGAACGGGTTAGCGAACAAGGAGCTCTTTGTGCCCGCTCTGGGAGCCGCGCCACACCCTGTGCCGCCATCGTGCCAGCCCTATTGTTCTTACTGTGATTTTTCCCTGATACAGGGGCAGGCTCTGGCTTGAATACCCAGATCAGATTTCAGGCAGAGCCAGGCAGGCGCCGCATCACCCTGGGCAATCATCATTTCCACTCCTGCTGCCTTGTTAATGAGGAGCTCCCTCTGCCGGCTAAAAGAGCCGTTTCTCCCTTTGGTTTACAGATCAGGGGAATAATTATAAGCAACTGAGGCCCTGCTGTGCTGGGTACTGTGGGAGAGTGAGTCCTTCCCCAGGGCTCACAGATGCAGGATGGGAGGGCACAGGGACCTGCACTGTCACTGCAGAAGTGGAAATAAAGGCCAGACCTCCCAGTCCATTTGTTTGCTGGGCCTGACGTTGAATCAAGATAAGCTTTGTTGTTGTGAAGCTATTTCCAAGTGGGCATCGGCCTTCTGGGATATAAGATACCAGGTTGAAAGAAGCAGTCAGTCAACTCATTCATCAGCTATTTATTGGGAATTTTCATGCAATAGAGCAGCGGGAATAGGAGACGGTCCCCAGAGCATAATTCGTCTGCCTCAAGACATGGGGGAGATGGGAGCTAAGTCTGCTTAGCCACTGGGGATGCAGGGGGTAGAGCTAACAGCTATCAAATACTTCCTTCTTACCCTAAATGCCTCCAGACTTCAAGGCCCAGCAATTACTGACAGACACACCGAGATGGGAGGGTTTAGATGGAAATGATTCTTCTTTGAGCAGGGGGTTGGATGAGGTGCGACCTCCAGCCAGCCTGACTTTTCGATGAAGATTTTGTGTGGCTCAACACAAGCAGCAGCCTAGCACAGAACCACACTCCTGAGCACGATATGAACACTGGCGGCCAAAAAAAGAAAGAAAAGATAGTGGTGTAGGAGGGTTCAGGATGGGTGGATGGATGCAGACGGACACAAGTGTAGACAGGCCGGAAGGTGGGTCAGTGTGACGTAGAGAGGCGGCAAGTCTTTAGTCTGGAATGCTTCTCTGTCCCGCGCGGATAGCCATCGAGCCCGCTCCATCCCGTTCGTTAGCTTGTGGATCCCAAGATCTGCGTGAAACCCCAGGAGATGCCACCCATGGCCAAAGCATACTCTAGCCCTGTGTCTTGGACATGTTAGACTTAGTAAGAAGCTCATGCAGGCTAGACAGAAGAAACCCTACAAAACCTAATAAGAAAAGTGCAGTAGCAAGGATCTGGGCATACTAAAGCAAAGGCAGATAAGCAGAACTGCCAACTGCCTTGAACAAAGTAGGCATAGCCTTGTTGGCCCTCCAAGCTCCTATGGCTGCTCCTGAGGTGCTGGTGCAGGGCAAAGCTGCTGCTCGGCCTTCTGTTCCAGGAGATACACATAGAGTGGACTGCAAGGCAGGGAGGCCTTGGCTTCATCCAGACTAGGGTCCCCCAGCCTCTCCTGAGAGACTACGGGTTCAGGAGGGTGGTGACTCTGCTCCCCTTCTTGGGACTCTGCTGCCCGAGTGGGACTTTCCTCTTGCAGCTGTGCCAGAGGCTCCCTTGGCAGATGGTGGCTGCCTTCAGCCTGTTCAGGTGCAATTTTCTGCTGGCACTGGCTTGCTGCATCTCCCTGGGACGGCTGCTGGCGGCTTCCTCCCTCTGCCGGTGCTTCCAGTGCCCATGGTTGTTGCTGGCTTCCCCCGCCCTCTTGCAGCCCGCACTTTGGCGTCTGGCTTGGTACTGTGGCTCCTGCTCTGCATCCAGGCTCATAGGCTCGGGGCTGGCTCCCCTCATCCCCTCTGCCCTCAGGCCTGTTGCTCTGATGGCGACTCCCATCACGTGGTTCGCCTTCCCGTGGCTGAGTCTGGCTGCCTGGATCTCCAGTGGGTGGAGGTGTGGGTGTTGCACGGCTCCTGTCGTCATCCATTGAGTTGGGATTGTGTGGCTCACGCTGGCTTGCCTCCTCCTTCGATGGCTTAGCCTCACCTGCCTGAGGCCTGTTTCTCTCATCATCTTGGGGTTCAGCTTTTTGGGGCGGTTGGTTGTCCCTCTCACCCTCTTGGGGTGCAGCCTTCTGTGGTTCACGGGGGCTGCTCTCGACCCCTTGTGACTCAGGGTACCGTGGCTGACGAGCCCGCTCAGGTCCTTGCGCTTCAGGTTCCCGGGGATTACGGGAGGTTGCCGTGTTGCCCTGGGCTTCGGATTCACATTGTTGAAGGCGGGTGCCTGTGCCCCCTCGTGGCTCGGTTCCATGTGACTGGGGCTGCCTCCCTCCATCATCCCTTTGCTTGGCAGATACCAGATGACAGATCTCATTGTCCCTCTTTGGGTCAGGAGCGTAGGGCCGTTGGCCGTTCTTCTCAGCCTCTCGGCGCTCAGGCTCAAGTGTTTGGCGTTGGGTCCTCTCGTTACCTTGGCGTTCGGGCTCCAGGGGTTTTGAGAGGCTTCGGTCATGAGG